AATTTAGTAATTATAGGCGTCTAATGATTTATTTTTTACGTTACGGTATATATTATTATTAAATTAAAAACAATAAACATATATATTACATATTTATTATTATCTTTGGTTAATATTGTTAAATTTAAATTCTAAATATTATTTTATAAAATATCAAAACAATCAAATAATTTTTTGTGCAAATGAAATTATTAAATTAATATTGTAGGTGGAAAACATGAAACACTATTAAAAAATTAAAACATAAATTACATAACTTTAAACAAAGTATCGATCCTTTTTATAAAAAGTATGGACACTTTCAATATAATAGGTAAAAATATGATGTAATAGGTAGCGCTTATATAATGTAATAGGTATCGTTTATATAATGTAATAGGTAGTGGTTATATTGTAAAGTATCTATCCTTTTTATAAAAGTGTCTATACTTTTTTCACTGTGGAAAACATTAATTTAAGGTTATCTTTTGAGTGAGTTTTAAGATATTAATTTAGTAATTATAGGCGTCTAATGATTTATTTTTCACGTTACGATATATATTATTATTAAATTAAAAATTCTAAATATTATTTTATAAAATATCAAAACAATCAAATAATTTTTTGTGCAAATGAAATTATTAAATTAATATTGTAGGTGGAAAACATGAAACATTATTAAAAAAATTGAAACATAAATTACATAACTTTAAACAAAGTATCGATCATTTTTATAAAAAGTATGGACATTTTCAATATAAAAGGTATATGATGTAATAGGTAGTAGCGTTTATATAATGTAATAGGTAGTGTAAAGTATCTATCCTTTTTATAAAAGTGTCCATACTTTTTTCACTGTGGAAAACATTAATTTAAGGTTATCTTTTGAGTGAGTTTTAAGATATTAATTTAGTAATTATATTATTTTTTACGTTAATATATTATTATTAAATTATTATTATTATCTTTGGTTAATATTGTTAAATTTAAATTATAAATATTATTTTATCAAATATCAAAACAATCAAATAATTTTTTGTGCAAATGAAATTATTAAATTAATATTGTAGGTGGAAAACATGAAACACTATTAAAAAAAATTGAAACATAAATTACATAACTTTAAAAAAAGTATCGATCCTTTTTATAAAAAGTATGGACACTTTCAACATATTATAATGTAATAGGTAAATTTACAATGCTATCGGTATAAATATACCGGTTTACTTATAAAATAGGTAAATATAAGCGCTACCTATTACATTATATAAGCGCTACCTAGTATGTTATTGTACTTTATAATATTTCCGGTTAAATAATATAACATAATCGGTCTAAATTTTAACCGGTCACTTATTTAACCGGTCACGCCGTATATTAGCCGTTTTTTAGGCGCCGCACCGCAGAACTACCCTGAATCTAGACATCCATTTGTCCACAAAGAAGAGACCTTAGAAATTCCAAAGCTTAATTCTCTAGGATGAATAAAGGATGAATGTGGACATATTTAGAATGAATGTAGACATCCTTGCGTCCTCATTGGAGAAACTTTTGGACTCCCAAAGCTTTGATTGTTGTCGTTCATTCTCATTTAATGGCATAATGGATGAATAAAAAGCCCTTGAATGCTCTCTTGCTCTTGAGAATCCGAATAGCCTCTCATAAAAGGGTGATTATGAAGTCCTTATTTTCCCTTGAAGAATTCGAACAGTCACTAAAATTCCAAACTTTATCTTTAGCCATTGAAATTAGTGTTTCATCTTTCAAGTTCCCATTTTGACATAACACTTTTTCCATGGCTACTTGAAATTTTCCTGCCCTAGCACAAGTCATAAATCTTCTAGGAAATTCCTCCGAATTTTTATTGGTCGTGGTTATACCATATATGATGGTAGAAGTTCTTCCTTCGGATTAAAAGAGACCTTCATTGATTTGTTTTTGCTTTGCTCACTCAGGTTTAAACCACGATGAACTCTTTGAGGATTCTTGAAGGTTATCAATTTTTCTCGTAGCGGTGCTCACATATACTTTTATTTCATCTAAAATTTAAAGGTTGAAGTGACTAAAGCGTTCTAGATCAATCACATGGATAATTTAAAATATTGTTTATTAAATTATTGATAGTAATGATTTTAAATATTATTTATCCGCAACATAAACATATGACACACGTGGCAAAAGCAAATCCACACTTGAATGATTCGGATTTCTCCTTTGAATTTTATTTTTGGTATCTATTTTAATTATTACCTTCCATTTTGTCTTTGAGTTTACAATAATGTCTTTTTCATGCACGTTGGAAAAATGTTTTAACTTTATGATGGCTATTGACTTTATTTCATAGACATGAATAATAGATTTATTCCCTTATTCATTATATACAAATTTTATGATAAATATTTTAATAGTTTAATCATTGAATTTCATGTTTTATTCACATAGATCATGCACATCAAGTTTTAAGTTAATTAAAAATATTAAACTATTTAATTTATAAAAAAAATCAATCATTAAATATATATTACAAAAAAATATTAATTTAATTGAATATGATAAATAATATAGATTGATTAAAACATTTACATGCATAATAAGTATAATTATATTAATATATAAATTATTAAAATATTAATAATAAACATACTTATAAAGATGTTTAAGTAGGGTTTTTTTTCATATATATATACAACAAAGAGATAATCCAATTCGTTTGTTTCCACTAATATGATGCTTCTAAATTAGTACAAAACTAAAAGTTTTTACATTATGTAATTATGACATTGAAGTTAGGACTTTGAATTTCTCAGTATCGGTTTATTGACTGTTCATGCACCATCCACTTATCCTACGAAAACGGATTCATCGACGCTTGTATTTCTTCGAGTGTCCGTCCCCTGGTATCCGGCACCAGCTTCGCCACGAACAGAACAGTCGAGCCACATACGGTGGCGAAAATGAAGAATGTTCCTGGAAGACAGTGTAACATGGGAAAGAAAGGTCAAATTCTGTGGCTAAAATGATAACGTTGACAATATCAGATGCAATGATTTTTACCTGTTGAGCTCCATTTCATGAGGAAGTTAAATGCAAAGGAAATAATCCAAGAGCCTAACCAGCTAACCAATGTCACAAGGCTTCCAGCTGAACCTTTCATGTTTATGGGAAATATCTGAAATACTAACCCTTTTGTTTCAGTTCATATAATATTGAAGGCTGCAAATTAATCTAGATCATGGCAAACTTACCTCGGACATTATAACCCAAGGTATTCCTCCCATGCCTAATGAAAACGATCCCGTGTACACCTACATCGAGTCGAACGAATCGGCACGAAGATGATTCTGTTCATGGAAGCTACTGCCTAAAACACTGATTCACTGGATTTACCAGTACACCACCAAGTGATAAGATAGGAGTGGCTTCCTTCCATTGTTGAAGGTCCTGTATGCGGTCGAGTTTAATGTTTGAGAAAAGAATATCGAACATGAAAAGGATTTGGAAATTCGAGATCGATAAATCTCGTCGAACCTGCAAGAAAAATGACAATCCAACTAGGAAGCAACCCAAGCATGTTCCAGCTGCTGATACCTGTAGATATAAGTAGATTTCAGCAGGGACATTTCCACAATGTAATACATATAGAAGATAAATTTCTAGGCTTTTGTACCAATAAAAGCAGTCTTCGTCCGGATTTATCGAGCAAGACTACTCCCAAAGCTGTCATAGGAACCTGCAGAAGATTATTCCAGTCTTTAAGAAAAGCATATTAATCAAAATGATATGAACTCTGATGATAGTGCAGGTCATGATGAACCGACCTGAACGACAACCATTGCTATCATTCCAACGCTACTGGAAAACCCTGTCACAAAGAACTTGAAATAAAAAGATTTTCCAGTTTGAACTTCCTATATAGTTCTTCTATTGTTTCATAAACATGAAAATGTTCTTAACATACCAGCTGATATAAAAATTGAACTAGCATAAAATGCAATGCCATTGACTCCCCCGAATTGTTGCAGAACCATTAGGCCAACTCCAACCTTAACCAGTTTAGTTATACATTAATAGAACAACACATAGCAAAGATCAATTATGTGCATAGGATTGACGAATTCGTATGGTGAGGGACCGAGTGTATTCCTTTTGGAACAAGTCAAACAAGCTAGATTCTGAATGCTGTTGATGTTGTTCTGTATAATCCTGCAAAAGAAAATACAATAAAAAGTATAAACCTTTCGTTATTCCGGCACATGCCGTACTAATCCAAGGAACAGAAACCGAAACTTGCATGCATTCTGAGCTAAAACCTACTTTAATCTCATTTGCTTCATCAGAAATATCAGCATTGTTTCCCCTTAGGCGCTGCAGGGAAGCTTCACACTCTTTCCATTTACCTATCTTTGCCTGCAAAGATTTATGTTCACTAATTCAATGCATTTATAGATGCTTGGATTTACTTCGAATCATAATTTCAGAAGAAATCTAATTATTTAATAGCATGAGCCACATATTTATGAACTTTTGTATAAACTACTGCCTTGAAGTTACCTGCCATCTAGGCGACTCAGGGATGAAGAATAGACCCAAAAGCTGCATAAGACATGGTATAGTTCCTGAAATCATATCATACAGGGGAGTAACTGTTAGAGAATCCTTTGAAGTTCAAAGTAGCACAATAAAATCTGACACTTACCGATTAGAGCCAAAGTCCGCCAGGTGGCAAAAGCGCCTACGAGGTAAGTTAATGACACACCACAACAGATCAACAGCTGCAGAATTGATGGTCACTAGGTACATAAGCAAAAGAACATATTGAAATTCATCAATGGTGCTTAGTATTTACCTGATGGACTGATGTAAATCCCCCTCGAATATCCTTTGGTGTAACTTCAGCAATATATACAGGAACCTATAGTGGATAAGATTAGATTATTTTCTTCAAACATATGAATTGTTAGTCAAGTACGACCGCGATATGTTCATAGCTTACCACATAGGAAAGGAGTCCCATCCCATATCCCACCAGAAGCCGTCCAAAGTCAAGCCAAAAGGCAGCCTTTTCACATGCAGTTAATATGAATTGAAGCCATATAAGGTACTAGAATGTTGTTTTTTCTTAGAAGAATGGAAGCAAGACTGTAATCAAGTTAAGCAGGAAAGCACCTTGGAGAATATTATAGCAAGCCATCCTACAATGCAGAATATCTCTGCGAAACCCATCGTCTGCATCAAACGTCAACCAACATTGAAGAAAGTCCAAGGCATGTAAAGCTGTTTCGAGTTAGAATTATACATATGGCAAAATATGTCCTAGAAAATCTTACGCATTTTTGACCAATGTAATCTGCTATTCTCCCACTCATTACTGCACCTATCATTGCTCCAATAGTCAATATTGAACCGAAAAGAGAATACTGCAATGGTCAAACTACGAAAATTGTTGAAACTTATATATGTTATCCAGTTCCCTTCTAAAGGATATGAATACCATGTTAGGTTACATAACAAATATGCCAGCTTTTGAGCTTTTCATGATCAAAAACATGTAATGGGTACAATTTTACCTAACATGATCATGCAGCTCAGTAAAAAAGGTTGCATAAAGGCATTTGAAATAAAATTCTAAGGTAAAAATTATTGTATAAAGGAAACAGATCTATTTATACTTTACCTCAGTCACAGAGAGACCCAGATCAGCTATGATTCCAGTCTGAGCAGGTGATGAATATCCAATCTGGTAAATCAATCATATTAGTTCAACTTTTGTAAGAAGAATGAAACAGTACGATTACCATCGGCGAATCCGAATAAAACCCAACTTTTTTAAGTCTTATTGGTTTTCAACAGGTGAACAAGAACAGTCCAGGTACTGTGTAGAATTAAGGTCAAACTTAGCCATTCAACAGTCATTGTAATCAAAATTCATGGTCAAGCAGGAGAAGGGAAACCCCTTTACTTTGCAGATTATAAGTAAAACTAATCATTTCAATATTGAAAACAGATACTTACAGCAGTCCCAAAAACATAAGATCCGCAAACAGCGACAAAGGTGCTAAGAACAACCATAGTTGTTGCAGAAGTAGTTCCAATTCCACCTTGTTCTTCACCGGAACTACCATGTCCAGCTCCATCCGATGGTTTCTCTTTAACTATCAAAGAACTTGAAAGTTCACCATCTTCTATTTTCTGTCTACTCATCTCTCAAAAATTCAAGCAAGAGAAATGTAGCCAATAATTAAGCAACAGAGTAAAGGAGTTCGATTGGAAGTGGTGTAAAGAACAAAAGGACAAGAACTTAATTTTTCAGTTTGAAGAAATGATAAGAGTTATCCATTGGGCCTGAGGGTCCCCACATGAAATGTGATATTTGTTGGATTGTTTGAATATTTCATGCATATTGAGTAAATGGTTTTCATTTGTTCATATGAATTAAATGTTCAAAAAGCCAAAACCTATAATATTTTGATATTTATAAGAGTCTCTCTAAATGAAATACAATTACTTGAATGGCTGAGCTGCCTGCAAAAGAAAATTCCAAATTTAGCTGCCATTTGCCAAAGTGAACTCAAATTCCAAGTTTAGATATTTAAAAAAATTGAATGTCTCAATATCATACAAGTGTACAGTTTACAGTATACAAATGTATACAGGGTCTTTTAAGACCAATATGAGGAAATGGAAACGGTTCACCAGTATTGTTCCTCCCTGGAAATGGTCACTTGTGAAACAAGAATGAAAGTAAGCCATATGTGTGTCGTTTGTAAACATGGTGCATTCAAAGCCATGCAAGATTAAATCTTATATGTTACGGAAAACAGGTGCGTGGTCGAAGCTTGTATTTCCTCCATTGTTCTCCCTTTGTCTCCGGTACCAACTTGTCCCCGAATAGAACAGTTAAGGCTGTGGTTACTGAGAAAAAGAAAAATGGTCCTGCAATGAAGTTTTCTGATACATTTTAGTTCAGAAATGTAATGTTAATTTACTCTTATAGGGAGGGAGGGAAATGGACCATGTTTTAGTTAAACGTATCTCTTGTTTCCAGATTTTAGGGAGAGCATCGATCTCGGAATTGCCACATACCTCTGACATTATGATCCATGGTATTCCTCCCAATCCTATTGTGAAAGTTTTAGCACAGACCTGAGTTTGCAGTACTGATCAGTACAGGGATTATTTGTTTCCCTATTTTGATAGTACAAGGTTTTTGGGTTGTTACATCCTACTAAAAGGTATTAATGTATCAGTACATTGCACGTATACAGTATACAGATGTAATATATGCAGGGTCTTTTAAGACCGATATGTGGAAATGCAGAAGGGTTCACCAGCATTGTTCATCCTTGGGAATGATCACTTGTAAATATACGAATGAAAGTAAGCCATATGCGTATTGCTTATACATATTGGTGCATTCATGTCCATTCCTTATATCTTAAATGTACAGAAAACGAGCGATAGATGCTTGTATTTCCTCCAGTGTTCTCCCCTTTGTCTCCGGGACCAACATGGCCGTGAATACAACAGTTAACCCTGAGATTCCCATGAAAAAGAAAAATGTTCCTGCAATCATATTTGCTGATACATTTTAGTTCAGAAACATAATCTTAATTTACTCTGTTAGAGAAGAAACGGAGAATGACCTGCTGCGCTCCATTCCATCATAAAATTGAAACTGTAAGTAATGATCCAAGCAGTGGACCAATTAACTAGAGTCACCAGGCTTCCAGCTTGAGCTTTAACATTGATAGGAAATATCTGACAAATAGTATGGACCATGTTTTAGTCAAATGAATCTCTTGCCTACAGCTATTGGGGAAAGCTAGATATGCAAGCAACGGCGAAGATTTCGATCTCGGAATTGGCACATACCTCCGACATTATAATCCACGGTATTCCTCCCAAGCCTATCGAGTAGAATGTAGCACCAATCTGTGTTTGCAGTACTGATCAGTTCACACATATAGTTTGGCTTAATATGTACCTATAGTTGTTTCGATGCATGCAGGCACTACAAATAATCATGTACTGTGTTCATGATTACAGCATTGACAAAATAGGTAAAATATGTAAGACAGACTGAAGTACCAATGTGCCGGTAAATGCCACAGACGGAGTAAGTGCCTTCAGATCGGGGAATTCCTTATTATAAAATAGCATCAAAGTTTTCAGGAAAAAAAAAGAAGAAAGAATTGGAAAGCTTTAAACAGGAAAGGACAATCTCTTGAAAAAAAATAACTAAAATTTGCAATACCTTAAAGCAGAATGACAGTCCCTGAAGAAAACAAGCAAAACACATTCCACTTGCAGAAACCTGCATAAAATTGGATTGATTCCATATTTACTTGTTTGTTCAACAATTTTACCATCTTGAAATGAACTTTTTACGAAACGAACCAATAGGAGCGGTCGTCTACCGGATCTATCCATTAAAAATAAACCTAAAATAGATGCCGGAATCTGCAAAAAACAATGTAATTGGGATGTCTCGGAAATGCTTGGAACATAATTTTACATTAACTCCAAGTTGGAAAAGAAGCCATGAAGGTACCTGTACAATAGCTAAAACTTGAAGGCCAAGGTTACCTGATATGCCTGTTGCAAACAAAACTTTGTGTCTTCTTTGAATAATTTCTGCAGCAATAATTATATAGGAAACAACATGGAAGACGTAAATTTACTGGCTTCGTTGAATATGCTACCGGTATAATATGCAATAGCACTATTTCCTCCTAGTTGTTGCAATAACATTAGGCCAACTCCAATCTGCAGAGTTCAAGAAGCCATATGTGAAATCATCAGGAAAGTCTTTAAAAGAAATTAGCATACTAATCGAATGTTACTCGAAGCTCACAATGAGTGCATTAGCATATCTCCTTTGGAACAATTCGAGGAAACTTTCTTCCGTCTGTTGCTCAAGAGTTTCCATATAAACCTACAAGATATTGTAAGCACATAACATTTCTTGTTATCATGAGGAAAACTATGTGTTCACAGAAGTAACAAGATATCAAGCCAATACGCTACTCTGATATCAGAAGCTTCTTCAGAAATGTCTGAGTCCTTTCCCCTTAGACACTTCAAAGAAGCCTCAAACTCTTTCTCTCGACCGGATTTTGCCTGCAGAAGTCGGTCATGTTTTGCATTCACGTGTTCGTTTTAACATGTGTACTTGAAAAGCATCCAAAGATTGGGAGACTACTATGTTAGGCTTACCAGCCATCTAGGGGACTCCGGAATAAAAAACAAGCCTATAGTCTGTACTACACAGGGGATTGCACCTGAAGGAAACGGAATGGATAAAAAACTTAAGCCAACTAACACTACCTTTAGCTTAAGTTAATAAGAAAATTGTATATACCGATCATAGCCAGTGTGCGCCACGAAATGATTGTTCCAGTGAAAAATATAAGTACAAACCCACAAGTAGTCATCAACTGCACCATTAAGAAGCTTAAATCGAATTAACGATAAGCTGAAAAATCACATTTTCAATTATGGGTTTAGTATAGTTTACCTGATTTGCCGATGCAAATGATCCACGGTGACTCTTAGGTGTTATTTCAGCTATGTAAACAGGTACCTGTTTTCATATAGAAAGTTCAGCTATATATCATTGTTAAGTTACTTCAAAACTGTTTCAAGTTGATGAAATATGTATGAACTACAAACTTTAGTACATTACCACATAACAAATCACACCACCCCCGATTCCGATCAACAGCCTTCCGATGTCCAGCCACAAGGCATTCTTCCAACAGAAAGTAAACATACACTTTTTACGATCTTTCTTACTAATTGTTCCATTATCGAATTCAAAGCTAAGCGTAGCTTTACCGGAAAGGAAATAATTTAAAGTGGAAGTTAACCTTTGCGAATGCTATTGATAGCCACCCAGCAGTGCAGAAGACATCAGAGAACCACATTGTCTGTTTCTCAATAGTATATGAACACATTAACTTAGAAGAATATGTAAAGGCTTAACCAAACAAATATAACTTACCCGTTTTCGACCGATAAGATCTGCTATCTTCCCACTTAAAATTGCTCCTACCATTCCCCCAATTGTCATTATTGAACCGAAAACAGAGTACTGCAAATTGGTGTCAAAGATTACACATCTATATTACTAGGATTCTTCGTTTCCGCACCATATCTATATCTATTTCCAATACATATTCGAATATAAATACGAGATAAACTTCGAAAAAATTAACTATAGCTGAGTTTATCACTCACAATAATCCGAGTAAGATAGTTAAATAAACTCACCTACAGCTTTCTTAAGCTTTAAGAAAGTAAATTGAGTAGGAAAAAAAAGTAGAAAATATTGGCATGTACTAACTGCTGACACAGAGAGGCTCAAGTCTTCCATGATCCCATTCTGAACAGGTGATGAATAACCAATCTGGGGTCATTTTCAAAGTTAGTTCATTATATCATATACTTACATATTAATATAAATTTAAGGTTCTTTTTGTTAAAAAAATGTTGAAGATCTTCACGTTGAGGATATGAAGAAGAAGAAGAAGAAGAAAGGGAAGAGCTTACAGAACAGCCATAGCAGAAAGAGCCACAAACGGCAATAAACGTACTGAAGACGAGAACAGATGTCAATGAGGAAGCTGCCGGCGAGGATGGTATGTTAAGGTCGCCGGTAATACTGTCACCACCGGCGCCACCATTGATGCTTGGTTTTGTTTCATTTGGCGGTCCATATCTGCCTGTTAACAGCCCTTCTTCCATGCTTTCCCTCTCCATTTTTCCTACTTCTGAAATTGTTGAAGAACCAAGTCAAACGTTGAATCTATATCTCTGCCGTTTGTTTTCCATGATACAACTTTCAACCTTTGGGTCGTTCTGCGGTGCGGCGCCTAAAAAACGGCTAATATACGGCGTGACCGGTTAAACAAGTGACCGGTTAAAATTTAGACCGGTTATGTTATATTATTTAACCGGAAATATTATAAAGTACAATAACATACTAGGTAGCGCTTATATAATGTAATAGGTAGCGCTTATATTTACCTATTTTATAAGTAAACCAGTATATTTATACCGATAGCATTGCAAATTTACCTATTACATTATATTATATTGAAAGTGTCCATACTTTTTATAAAAAGGATCGATACTTTAACAGTGTTTCATGTTTTCCACCTACAATATTGATTTAATAATTTCATTTGCACAAAAAATTATTTGATTGTTTTGATATTTTATAAAATATTATTTAGAATTTTTAATTTAATAATAATATATACCGTAACGAAAAAAATAAATCATTAGACGCCTATAATTACTAAATTAATATCTTAAAACTCACTCAAAAGATAACCTTAAATTAATGTTTTCCACAGTGAAAAAAGTATGGACACTTTTATAAAAAGGATAGACACTTTACAATATAACCATTACCTATTACATTATATAAACGATACCTATTACATTATATAAGGGCTACCTATTACATCATATGTTTACCTATTATATTGAAAGTGTCCATACTTTTTATAAAAAGGATCGATACTTTTTTTAAAACTTATGTAATTTATGTTTCAATTTTTTTAACAGTGTACTGCGAATTTAAAATGATAATATACTTGTAGTTATTGTACATACCTAAATATGTACTGCGAATTTAATGTTGTACCCACCCTTTAACTACAGAAACATGTTCAAAATGAACCTTCGTTTACATATCCATCAACTCCTGGAGCACTGAACTTGCACAACAAAATTTTTGCCATGGATAATACTGATGTAGACAATGTTAAGCCAACCGAGGAATGCCATGAAGTACATAATGTTGATGAATCTGACAGATTGGTTGGTCAGCTCTTCTGTTCACGTGATCAAGCTTGGCACTTTTACAAGGGATTCGCACGGGAACATGGGTTTAGTGCACGTAAGGGAACAACACGGCTTGACGTGGAAGGGAATGTGAAGACACAAGAATTTTGTTGTTCCAAAGAAGGGTTTCGAGTATCAAAAGTCAATACTGTTGATCGTCAACGTGCTCATACGCCAGTCACAAGAACAGGATGTAAGGCTAGAGTCGTAGTTACAGCAACAAATACAAACGATCAGTGGGTTATAAGTAAGTCTGATCAGAAACATAATCATGCATTGTGCACATCTGCTATGACACCATTTATGCGGTGATGACAGGGCCGCAATCATATCTGTTACAAAATTTGAAAACCACACATGTCAATTATGATGAATACTGCATAAATTAAGCTTTCTATTTGTGATAACATCTCATACCCATTCAATTGCTTATTCTTCTTATGCTCCACAAATTTGAAGTTTTTCAAGGGATACTTTCCTAGAGATCCACATGACTCAACCCAAATGCGTTTCTTATTATAAGAATCTAATATTTTAATCTGCATTAAAATAGAAGAAGTTATGCACCAAAAAAATTATGCATTATAATTTACATAATGTCCTTTCATACATACATACATACCAATCTCTTAGCATCCTTCACTCTCTGTTTAGCTGCTTCAGTTGTAAACATACTATCATATATTGTTACAACATGATCTACCATATCCAACACCAACAGATACCAGTGTGAATTATGGTAGTTTATTGTGATCATTATCTGCAACAAATTTCACACCCAATTTGACAAAATTCAACATTCTATATCCGAAAACATCATTTGCAATTGGTATGGTGTCTTACCTTCTCACAGTCCGTGAATTTCACATAGTTATCCAATATGACACCCCAGAAGGTAGAAATATTCTCAACACTTTCTTTATTGTTGGCTTCCAACGCCTGTTGCTGTAATTACGCAACAAACATTATTAATTTACCGTCTATAACACTACTTTTCAATATTTATTAATTTAACTCACCACTAAGAGGTATGGAAGGTAGCCAATCCTCCGGTGTGACTTTTGAGAATCGTAGCATATGGTCCAGGCGAGCAAATCGATAACCTAACAAAATTAATTACACAATCAGAACATATTCAATAAGTTTTATTTATTTTCTACTTTCTACTTACCACACCGCCAACCCATTCTGTAGGCTTCAACGTTGCAACGTCGTATACAGTAGCGAATTGATTTCCCATTGATATTACAGAATATCTGTATGAATCATTAGGATTAATATCTTGTCATGAAATATTTAAATATCACTCACAAAACAATATATTTCACTTACCCCGATTCTAACTCGCTATTCCATAAATAATCACAAATTGCAGCTTCGATGTCATCAATTCCAGTTGGAATGTCCGCTTTTTCAACCTACAATTTTGCATACAAATTTTTGTCACAACAACATAATAAAAATCAAATTAAGTATTCTTTTATTAAACTTACCTTCTGCTTCTTCTTCTGGGGTGCATGACATTCCGAATCCAAAACTGCTGCTATGACACTCTCCGGTGTATAAAGCACATTGGGCCTCTCCTTCCTCCTCATTTCTTCCATCTCTTCTTCTTCCTCCTCCCTCTTTTCTTCTTCATATTTTTTCAGTTCATCGTACTTTTTTTCTACATAGCTCTTCATATCTTTTATTTCACCCTTCAATTGAGCTCCTTCATCCGAGTATTTATCAACCACCCCCTTCACCCCCGTAAGTTCACTCCTCAAATCAACAACCTCCTTCACCACTCCCTCAAATTTCTCTCCCGTCACCATCTTAATATCACCCCTTAACACCGAAACTTCTTTCACCACTTCACCCCTCAACACCTCTACTTCTTTCACCACTCCATCTATTTTCCCTTCCACTACCCCCTTATGCCTCTCGAGTTTCTCTACGACTTGATCAAGTTTCTCTTCGACTCTTGATTGTCTTTGCATGATTTCAAATTGGATTTTTTTGATATCAGCCAATTCAGACATCAAAATGTCGAAGTTACTCTGTTTTGCTTCACCGTCGTCCCACTCACCTTCATCCCCCAATACTTCTTCCCTCAATACAACCATCCCTCCTTTCTTCTCCTCTGCCTCCACTGCCTCCTCTACATCCTTGCCAATAACCTTCAAAAAATTAAATTACAATATTAAGACATTGATTATATTCTTAATATTATTTAATTACATTTATTACCATTTCTTGCTTCTTCCCTCTATCCAACTTCAACTTCACCATCACTCTAACCACCTCTTCCTTCCCCCATGCACGGATGCGTGCCACTCCGGTTCTTTCATAAGCCGGCACTGCCTCACAGCCCGACCAAAAATCGAACAGTGCAACCTGCATTTATAATAAAATTAGAATTTTTATATAAAAACACAAAAAAGTGATTCAACTCATTTACCTCTAAGATTGCTATGCACCCTTTGAGGTATCTCTGGCTGCCCTTTTTAAAGGTGATAATTGATTCAATCAATCTCGAATGGATATATTCAGCCCAATTGAATTCACCCTTCAAGCCTTCATCGCAAATGAGCTTCATATATTCCTTGTTCGTTGACGTATCACCCGTTGGACAAAGAAATATACCGACAAGGTACAATAGAACTCGGGCCTTCAGCTCATCCCCCAAGTAAGATCCACTTTTGATATCCTCTTCAACTTCAGTATATGTCACCTTATGATTCAAACCATATTTGGAGGCAAGTGCTTTCCAGTTCTTACTCCTACAGACTTCTATAACACTTTTGCCTTTGTTTTGTACCCCCAATACGGCTGCAGCAGTCGATACCCCCAGAGGGAATGAATAATCACCATACTTAGCCATACATTGACTGACGTCAAATTGTGCCATCAAGGATCGACACAATTCCCTCCGAATAGGTCGATCCCTTACTCCGATCAACGATCCAAAACCTATTTCTCCCAGCACATTCAACTGACCCTTCTCCTTAAGGTGTTTAATTAATAAATTCACCCTTTTAATGCTGCACCTTGTCGACACTTCCTACATTTTTTAACAATATATAATGTTATAGTTCTTATATATTTTGTATCAACGTATTTACAAGTTTAATGAATACCTTATTTTCATGTGCTTTCCTCCGTTCTTTGTATTCTTTACTATCATTCCTTGACTGTGTGATGTAAGGTTCCTTTTCAGCATCACTCATTGAATTCCATTTGGACCTCACATCTTTTTTCACCTAATATTAAACATAAACGTTTCTTAATCAATACATTAACACTAAATACTAATACTACTCAATGTCAATTTCATTTTACATACCGAACCGCTCTGTGTGCCATCTCCCTTCATCCTTTTGCATTCGGCCATACTGTTAACATTTAAAATTTGTAATCAATTTAAAGTTTATCGATACTTTAATCCAATTACCATTTCAACAATAATAACAAAAAGACATTGATACTTACTAGAAGTACATATATCCACCCTTTGGTTGCTTTCGAGTCTCGGCCTCAATTTCAAAGTCATCTGCTCCACCAACAATTTTCCAACCCATTGACTCCATTTTTCCTTCATATATCAGTTTACGCAAATCAAATTATTTTGTTACATACACTTTTCAATATACAAATATAGATAACTACTCTTGTGGTAAAACGGTTTTCTTCAAAAGAATTTGAATGGCCACACCAAAATGTGTCGGCACATTTATACAACCTATAATATCATTTTCTACCTATAATATTTAATAAAAGTATCGACATTTATCGTTTTCCTTGAATATCTATTTCTACCTGCAATCGGTCCCAAATGCTTCCTTACTCCAAAACCCCAAACAACACATAAAAAACCCTATCGCGATTACTGTAATAATAAAAAATTAGGGTTTCGACAACATACTTTTCGATTCGACTGCAGCAACAAACAAACAAACTTCGCTTTAGAAACGCCTTCTGAAATGCAGCAACAATTACTCTTCGATTTCAAAAACTCGTCCGTTCTATCTATTTTCAGAGGATATTTAGCTTATATTTTCATCGGATATGTTATTTATATTTAATCGATACAAATACAAAAGTGTCGATACTTTTATGTCAGGTGTCGATACTTTCGAAAGGATAATTACCTATTTCTTTGAAAGTGTCGATAATTTATTACACGTACTTACGAAAGTATCGACACTTTCAATATATCCGGTATCATTTTACCGTTTTTATCATTTTGATACCGGTTTTATCATATTTTTACCTGTTATATCGTTGTGGATCGATATTTGTTTTTAAAGTATCGACACATTATAGGCGCTATAACTGCTTCTCTTTTAAATTCACAAAGTGTCGATCCTTATATAACGTATCGACACTTTTAATTTTACCGGTTTTATCATTTTGTTACCGGTTTGATCATAATTTTACCTGGTATATCGTTTTGGATCGATATATTTCTTAAAAGTATCGACACTTTTTAGGATTTAAAACTGCTTTTAAAGTTATGTAATTTATGTTTCAATTTATTTAATAGTGTTTTATGTTTTCCACCTACAATATTAATTTAATAATTTAATTTACACAAAATTTTATTTGATTGTTTTGATATTTTATAAAATATTATTTAGAATTTAAATTTAACAATATTAACCAAATATAATAATAAATATGTTTTCAACAGTGAAATAAGTATGGACACTTTTATAAAAATGATATATACTTTTTTGAAAGTTATGTAATTTATGTTTCAATTTTTTTAATAGTGTTTCATGTTTTCCACCTACAATATTAATTTAATAATTTCATTTACACAAAAAATTATTTGATTGTTTTGATATTTTATAAAATATTATTTAGATTTTAAATTTAACAATATTAACTAAAGATAATAATAAATATATTTTCACAGTGAAATAAGTATGGACACTTTTATAAAAAGGATAGATAATTTACAATATAACAGGTAAAAATATGACAAAACCAGATTCATTATGACAAAACCGGTAAAATTTACTTGATATGTTAAAAGTATGGACACTTTTATAAAAAGGATAGATACTTACCGATAACCAAAGTTTACCGGTTACCAAATTTTTTAATAGTTTTTCATATTTTCTACCTAAAACATTATTAGTTGTCAACATAATAGGTACCGCTAAACCGAATTTATTAAATACATTTTAATGTATCCGGTAATGCTGTATATTAGCCGTATATTAACCCGCCTTTCCTGAGACATTCCCTCAACCTTTTCTACATAAATAAAGAAATACCCACCTAATTTCTTTTAGCAATATTTTATGTTTACATTTTCAAAAGTAAACAAATGATTCCGATTATAAGATATTATTTTGTTGAGAAATTAAATTATTAAAAGTTATAAAATAATTCATCAACTCTAAAAAGTTATTTTATTGAATCTATCAACTATTAAAAGTTACAAAACAGTCACTCAACTATTCATTATTTTTCAAAGTCATCATTTTTCGTTAAAAAATTAATAATCGTCTAAGTTGGACGTTAACATGTTGATTAAGATATGATAAAATCTAATCTCATAATCTCAAACGACTATCATATCTCAGTCAACACGTTAACGTCCAACTCAGACGATCATTAACTTTTTAACCGAAAAGGATGAGTTTAGAATATAATGAATAATTGAGTGACCATTTTGTTATTTTTAATAATAAGGGGACTCAACAATATAATATCCTATAGTTGAAGGACCATTTTATAACTTTATCCTTAAATTTTTCATCAGCCTAAATTCTAACATATCCATATATTTTATTGGGTAAACCACACCCATTTAATAACAGTGATTTTAATTTGATAATCGATATTTTAATCTTATTAATCAGATTATTTAACTAATTAGACGATATCAATCAAGTTACATACTATTAACATTCGAAGAGAAACTGACATGACGGATTATCAAAAAAGTATAATTACACATTTCATTTTCATTACTTATACAATCTATCAATTTAATTTAAATTTTATTTTAATTTAATAAATTTAATCATATAATAAAATGATAACATACTTCATTAATGACATAATGTGAGTTGAACTGCAACATTATGTATATATCTTTTACTATAGCTAGCGTCAGAAAAGTTAAAAGTGACCAAGAGTGTATCCAAATTCAATAATTAAATAGTTTGAGAGTACCTAAATCACTAAAACAATTTTAATTGTTGGTTATATATATATATACATATTTAAATTGTAGTTAATGTAAGATTAAAAATAAAAAATAATTTTAAGATTTTTATATTTTTAAATTAAATTTATTATTTCTTTTTATGATTATATATTAAAAATCCATTTAACAAAATCAAAGGATTGTATCGAAGGACACGTTCTCCCCTCAAAGGATTGTTTCAAATACCTAGGGTCTATGATACATAAAGATGGAGGTGTAGATAATGACGTTACACACCGTATAAAGGTAGGATGGCTAAAGTGGAGGACTGCTACTGGAGTTTTGTGTGACAAGAAGGTACCTCTAAAACTTAAGGGAAAATTTTATAGAATGACAATAAGACCAGCGTTGCTGTATGAATCAGAATGTTGGGCAATCAAGAATGATCACGTAAGGAGGATGGAGACCACAGAAATGAGAATGCTTCGATGGACATGTGGTAAGACTCTGTGGGACATGACACCAAACATTGCAATTAGGATGTCCTTGGGGGTGGTGCATGTATCCGAAAAATTGAGAGAGGGAAGACTAATGTGGTTTGGCCATGTCCTTAGGCGACAATCATCTGATGCGGTCATGAGGGTAGAGTCGATTACAGTCGACGGTGCCAGAAGGAGAGGATTACCAAGGAGGAAGTGGGTAGACTGTTTGAGATCTGATTTGAATGATTTAGCCCTTACCGAGGACATGACCTCTGACAGGAAAGTATGGAGACTTAAGACCAGAGTAGCCGGGTAGTTTGGATCACAGCCATAGGGTGTAGCATCTCTGTCTTCTTTTTAATGTCTTTGTAGTAATTTCCATGACTTTTACTTTTTATATGGTTTCTGTCATTGGAATTTATGAAGCCTTAGAACTAAGGTAGCGGAGTAGTGTTACCTAAGTTTAGGTTTTAACCCAATTGACTTTATTCCTTCTCGTAGCTTACTACCGCTGACTACTGTATATCCTTCTCTTCATGTTCATTTTTTATTTAAATTTAGTCGGACTTACGTTTCTGTCTATATGCAGAGATTTTTACGTAGGGATTTATTTGCAGAGATTACTTCCCATTACAGATGTGCATATGAAGACTGCTTATGAAGACTGTTCAACTATGTATTTATTTATTTATACATACAGTTTATTTTATCTTTATTTTTAATTTTCTGACTGTCAGAGGTCTTTCACGGAAGTTGCACTCTACCTGGCGTTGGGGGCAGCCTACTACCCTATCCTACCTTCCCCTTATCCCATTACATATTGGAATAGAGTTTTGTTATTGTTGTCGTAAACTACACAAGTCAGATAATAAGATAAATTTATAATTTTAATTATATTATAACTTAAATTGGACATTTTAAACTTTACAATTCAATAAAAAATTACTAAATTATAAATTTAATTTTTAATAAAAAATTATAATTATTGGTTAGATTAGAAAAATATTAATTTAATCACTGAATATATGATCATTGAATTATATGAAATCTATTATAATTAGGTGATAATTGATGTAGTTTATCTTATTTTATTTGTTGCTTGTGGATTTTGGCTTTAAATAGTTTGCTTGAATATAAAAAATGTGTATATATAAGCATAGGGTTAATAAATAATTCTGATATGGACCACTCACTTTGATCTTTTAATCTTCATTTAATTTAATATTATGTTGATAAATATATTTTTGGATAAATTATTCATCAAATCATTTCCGAGATCTAATCCCACATATTGTCCAAACTACTCCAATGCTAATTATTGAGATAATAAAATATTAAAATATTTTTTTATTTTGGTTCACTTTTTCGATTTTTAGGGTTTTATCATGACTAATTTAAATTAATTTATGTCGTATACATGATTTTGATAGGTGATTGAGTCTCCCAGTGAAAATTTTCTACTTACATAAGAATTCGAATTCGAATATTACTTAAGCGATATTAAACTGCTTACTACTTGAACCAATCTTAGTTAAAACAGTTTCTTTTTGTTCAAGAATCTTGTTGACATAAAAACCCTTATTTATTTAACCATGTTTATCTTTCCAATTAATAATATATATTAAACTATAATATATATTAGTAATCATCTTCGAAAACGATAATAAGAAGAAAAAAAAATTATTTATAAAAATGTGACATTAGAAAAAATAGTAAAAAATTAAAAAAATATTATAATTGATGGGACGTGATGGAAATGATTTTAGGCTACTTTATTCAAGTTAATAGTAATAAATTATTATAATTTATTTACAGTCAATATTTTATTAGGTATTAATTTCTTTTTCTTTTGACACGCGAGATTCATGACATTTTAGAATTGAATAATATTTTTTATATGATATTTAAATTAATTAAAATTTTTCTCTTTTAGTAATATTTTTTATTATTTTAAAAAACGAAAATAATGTAAAAATAATGAAAACTACTCTAAATATTATAAATGTATTTTATAATTTTAGATTGCATCTTATTTATTAAACTACTCTATAATATTATATATATTATAATATTTTATACTATTATAAGATATATATATCTTATATGGTTAGAAAGTGAAAAATACCAACCAATATGTAGTACCATAGTAGTATAAATAATTAAAATTAAATTTGTATAGAAACTTAAATAATTCAACTCAATTCAACTCGAATTTTATAAACTCGACTTAATTTTTAAAAAATTTAACCTTAGTCATAATATACGACTCGTCATCTTGAATAATTTGAATTTTTTTACTCCTCGATCACCTCTATTAGATAGGTTTATCCAGCAAACCAATTTTTGACTAATAATAGTAAAATAAGTTCATTTTCTTGATCCTGACTTAACGATTTGAAAATGCTGGATTAGGTGAGAGATTAGTTAATTTCAATTGACTTTTTAATTAAAAAAAAACTGTAATAACATTTTAGTTTCTTTTGTTTACAAATTTTTATTAATTTCACTTACACTCTTTAGAAACTAACAAAAATTGTCATAATGAGGTGATAGAATGAAAGTACGCAACATGCGTATATTATTTATACATACTGGTGCATCCATGGCCATACCAGGAATAAATCTGATATTACATAAAATGAGTGATAGAAGCTTGTATGTCCTCCGGTGTTCTCCCTTTTGTCTCTGGAACCAACTTGGCGACGAATGCGACAGCTAAGCCCGAGATTCATAAACGAAATATGTTCCTGCAATGATGTTTGCTGATACATTTTAGTTCAGAAATGTAATGTTAATTTACTTTGTTGGAGAAGAAATGGTGGATGACCTGTTGAGCTCCAGTCCATCATAAAATTGAAACTGTAAGTAGTGATCCAAGCAGCTGACCAGTGGACTAAAGTCACCAGGCTTCCAGCTTGAGCTTTAACATTTATAGGAAATATCTGACCAAGAATATGCACCATGTTTTACTCAAATGAATCCCTTTCCTACGGCTATTATAATCCTCTGACATTATAATCCACGGTATTCCTGCCAAGCCTATCGTGTAAGCCGTAGCACCGATCTGTGTTTGCAGTATTAACCAGTTTATACATGTAGTTTGGCTCAATCCTAATCATGTATTAACCAATTTATAGTTGTGAATATGCATGCAGATTCTACAAAGAACCATGTATCGTGTACTTGAGCTGCCTAATCCTAGTCATGGTTATGGCCATTGGGAAAATAATTGAAAAGCAGAAGACAGTAAAACCGACGTACCAAAATGCCGGGAAGTGCTAGAAACGGTGTAAGTGCCTTCAGATTGGGGTGTTCCTGATTGTGGGAGAAAGAATCAAATAAGAATGACAATCTCTTGATGAAGAGAATTAAGCTTTTTTATACCTTAAAGCAGAATGAGTCCCTGGAGAAACTTGCTTCTGTGTGTTGCTCACGAGTTTCCAAATAACCGTACAAGAGAATATAAGCACACATCATGAGGAAATAAGCGTTCCAAATTTCCTGGGGAAAAACTAAAAGATATGAAGCTAAAATCTACTCTGATAATAGCTGCTTCTTCAGAAATATCCGAGTCTCCCCTAAGACGCTTCAAGGAAGCTTCAAACTCTTTCTCTCGACCATATATATTTTGTCTGCAGAAGCCATTCACATCTTGCATTTACACTGTGTCAACTCAAAAGTAAAGAATCAAGTGCATAAATTCTCTTATATCTTTCTCTAACATGTTACGGACTTAAAAAGCTTCTGAATACTATGGAGTTAGACTTACCAGCCATCTAGGGGACTCTGGAATGGAAAACAAGCCTATTAGCTGTACTACACACGGGATTGCACCTGAAGAACAGAATAGATAAAACACTATACTTAACTAAAACTATCTTTTGCTTTATCTATTAAAGAAAAAACCAAAGTGCATACTGATCATAGCTAGGGAGCGCCATGAAATGAAGGTTCCAATGTAAAACATAAGTGCAACCCCACAAGTAATCATCAACTGCACGATAAAAGAAACTCATATCTAATTAATGTTAAGTTGACAGATCACATAGTCAATTGATTTAAGTATATTTTACCATATTTGATGATGTAAAGGAACCCCGGAGACTTTTAGGTGTTATTTCAGCTATATAAACAGGTACATGTTTCATAATGTATATCAGCATAAAAACTACTTGAAGTTGAAAAATGAACAGCAAACCTTAGTGCACTATCACATAACTAATCATGGCACCCCCGATTCCGATGGACAGCCTTCCAATGTCAAGCCACAAGGCATTCTTCCAGAAAGAATTAAGCATAACCCTTTATTAGATCTTCTTAAGAATTGGCCTATATGGGGTTACAATAACTAGTTAACATAGAACTACATTGAACTGGAAGTTAACCTTTGCATATGCTATTGATAGCCACCCATCAGTGCAGAAGACCTCAGAAAACCACATTGTCTGTTTCTCACAGTCAATGAACACATTAATTTAGAGGAATAAACCAATATTCAATGGAATTTAACTTAAAACAACTGTGTAAGATGTAAAGGCTTAAAGAAGAAGAAGACGAATTCACTCGTTTTCTACCGATAAGTTCCGCTATCTTCCCACTTAGAATTGCTCCTACCACTCCTCCAATTGTCACTATTGAACGAAAAACAGAGTACAGTAAATTGGTGAGAAAGATTACAAAGGATTCATCAATTTTTCACAAATATTCATGTCCAATCGATTTGTCACTCACCTAAATCCTAGTAAGATAACTTACCTTCAGGTTTCTTGTGCTTTAAGTAAGTGGAAGCTTATCGAATGCATGAGTTTTTGTGTTTGTAAACAAATAAAAATTGAAAGCAAAAATTATAGAAGAGATTGGGGAGTACTAACTGCTGGTACAGAGAGGCCCAAATCTTGCATGATCCGATTCTCCGCTGGTGATGAGTAACCAACCTGGCTCCATTTTCATAGTTCATAAAGGTAGCAAATACAATCATCTATTGTATGTTTTCATTCAGTTTCTCCCCAAAGCTGATGGCATGTTAAGGTTGTCGGTAAGACTGCCACCGCCGGAACCATTTCTAATTGGTTTTGTTGCATTTGGGGATTTCTTCCTTCCTGTTAATAGCCCTTCTTCCATGCCTTCCCTCTTCATTTTTACAATTTTACTGCTTTTGAACTCGTTTAAACAAACAAATTAAATGTGAATCTATATGTCTGCCTTTAGCTTTTCATTTTTTTTTTCAAGTATAAAATATATAGACGTGGAGGTAACGGATTCGAATGTGAGATGAGACGAATGTTCAACTAACCTAAAGTTATGTTAAAAAAATAACCTAAAGTTAATTATTGAAATTAATAAATACAGAAAGAAAAAGGACTCAGCCAGACCCTTCCTAAAAGACATGTGTGCTACTTTTTAATGAAGCCCGTAAAAGAATTAAAGATACTGTCAAAATCTTCGTTTATAATTTTTTCTGCTACTTTCTCGAGAATCAAACGGAAAATTTATTTTCCTTCAAACGAAAATGTCATCGGGACACAAAAGTTGAATCTTGTGACGTGTCACAAGCCACACTTGTATATGGACGGACCTAAACCCAATATTCATGACACAAAAGTTAGTCCTAATTAGATTTATGTGTGGAACCACTAACTCTTGCAATCTTGTAACGTATCACATGCCACACTTGTATATGAACGGACCTGAACTCAGTATTTGATAAACTTATATTTAGTGATTATCTTATATTCTTATAGTAATTTTTTATATTTATATTTTATATATACATATATATATATATATAATTATGTCTAATAATATTATGTATTTAAATTTTAATTCACACTGAAACTTGAATATGATGTGTGATGTTAACATAAAGAGATGTGATGTTAACATGAAGAGATATACTGTTAACATGAACAGTTGTGTAATGTTAACATAAAGAGATATAATATTAACATGAAGACAAGTTCGCTTTGAAACTTTTGTGGCCCTAGGGCAAACTTAAAAATTGGACATCTAATAATAAATATTTTAAAAAATTTCTACAATTCTCGTTAAGCGTGGATAAACACCGTTAACGATGAGTACTATTAAATTAATTTATAAAATATTAAATATATAATTATAAATTAGTTAAAAATCTAAATATAATATAATTAAAATAAAATATGTATAAAATATTAGATTTATAATCTTATTTTAATTATAATTATATTAAATATTAATTTGGAAAATTTATAAACCATAATTTATTTTCATAGCTTTAAAGCTCCTGCCACCGTTACCGCCGTCACTGTTGTCATCACCGCCGTCGCTACCACCACCACTATTACCGTCGTAGCTGCCACCACCACTGTCTCCACCATTAGTATCATCTTTCACCGACGATTTAGTCTTTGTCGTTCGCCAGCAGTGAAAGATGATACCTTGCGGAGACGATGGTGATGGTGATGGTGACGGTGAGAGCTTCAAACCTATGGAAATAAATTAGGGTTTATAAATTTATCAAATTAATATTCGATCTAATTGTAATTAAAATAAAATTATAAAAACTAATTTTTTTTATAAATATTGTATTTTAATTAAATTACATTTAGATTTTTAACTAATTTATAATTATATGTTTAGTACTTTATAATTTAATGTTTTATAAATTAATTTAATGGTGCTCATTATTAGCAGTGTTAATCCTTGC